AACACAAATTTTCTTTAACAAAAAGACGTCCAAAATTTATTTTCGAAGCATGAATTTTGATCATACATTCGAATGTGAAGCTTGAACACTAAATTAAATAACATATAATTAGGTATTTGATCTATCAATGTAATTGTATAAAAAGGTATGTCATGCGTGACCTAATCACGAAAGGTATGTCTGTCCTTGGGGCAAATGCCTTGTCTTGGATCCATGCTTATGTACACATGGAAACGCACATAGATTCCCTTATCCTTTTTTCCATTTTCGTAGCAAACAGTAACTTCCGTTAGTCGGATTGACGCCGTTAATGTCGAGATAGTAAAACCAACCCATTTTTAAAATTTGAGTATATAAAAAACAATCTTAAATAATTAGTATATTTATCATATAACCAAAAAAAATTGGATATTTTTTCAGCAAATGCAACTAAATTCGGGTGTTTTTGAGAATTTTCCCTAAAATAGGCATAGCTTCCTAATTTATTTATTTTCTGGGTGGAAGTAGAACAATGCTCTCTAGTGCTTGTTGTTTTATTAGTAGTCTGTGCTCATAAATTGATTAATTTTTATGAAAACAAAGCTCGAACGAATAAATAATTGTAGAGAATTACAATGTGATTTCTTCACGTGAATAATTTCATGGAGAAGCACAACACGTCAATGTCATTGAGTCATCGACAAAAAAGTATACTATATATATCACACTGAAATAATAAGCGTATATGTCTTGCATTATTGCTCCCATTTGCTTCACGATGTTTCTGAATTTTCACTTGTAAAATAGTACATACAGCCTTTTTTCAACAACATATATAAAGTTAACGTAGGACATTAATCGTTTATCATCATTGTTTATATGTTTATAATCATAAACGCATTACATGAAAAGCTTATTATATTTGTATTTCCCTTTTCCTTGTATAGGAATGAAAATAAGATCGAGAGAGCGAATACTTTCGCGGATCTTAATAGTATATCTTGTAATAATAATTGATAATTTCGTCGTAATTAGCGACCATTTATCAAACGCTTAGCTATTTTTTATCATTATAAAAAGTACCTTTTTCCCGTAAAATATCAACGCATTTGAGTACCCGACATTGCATTAGTGGTAGGTAGGACCGTTTTTGCCGTGACGGGTTCTCTTGTCTTCTCTCAGTTCTCACAAAAACCTTTAAAGGAAGACTTGTGTTTTTGCCTTAGAAATAAGAATCTTCTTGTCTTGCTCTTTCACAATTCAAAGAGAAATCATAGGGATTGGGCTCAAAGCCCATTGTGGAATAGTAATGATCGATCATCAAGTCGTGAACAAGTTGCAAAGTATAAATTACGCAAAATATAAATTA